GGCGGCTGGGGAGGCCCAGAGACACCTTTGTACCAGCTTGTTAGGGGCTGGGGCTGTGGTGGCCATGCCCAGAGCCCTGCAGCAGCCTGCGGTGGGCACTGGCCTGGGGCCAGCCTGCACTGGGCTGCTGGGCTTGGCTGGGGTGGGGAGAGGGCAGGGAGCTGGGGAGAGGTGGGCAGGGGCTGGGCTGGGCTGGGCAGTGCCTGGCAGAGGGCAACAGCAGCGTCGGGGAGCGGTGGCAGCATGCAGGGGAGGGCTCCCAGCAGGGCTTGGTGTTGAAGAGCCAGGGCTGCGCCAAGGGAGCCCAGAGCTGAAGGGGCAGGGGAGAGGAGGCCGCTCTGGGCCCTTGCTAGCCTGGGCAGAGCAGGAAGGGGGCCCAGGGCATTCGTCCCCTCCCCGCAGTCTGCCAGGACCTGCAGGGACGTCAGGAAGAGCCCAGGGCCAGGCTCTGCCCCTTGGCCACGAGCCCTGCCTGGCCTCCTCCTGCCACACTGTGTGAGCTAGCTGCAGCAGAGGGGACCCCCAGCCAGCCCCTGCATGGGGCTCTGCCACCCGCCTTGCCCCGGCCTTCTCCAGCGCCCTCCTTGCTGCTCTCTGATGCACTCCAGCACCTCCCCGTGCATGCCAGCCAGAACATCTGCTGAGGGCCAGTGTGGCTGCTGCAGGTGCAGGGAGCTCTGATGGACTTTTGTATCCTTCTCCAACATGTCTGAAGTGCCACTTTTCTCAGGAATAGAGTAACTGTGACTTAAAATAGTCATATGAGGCTAATCCCTGGCTTCAACCTGTAAACTTAATTCCTACACCTAAATGCTACTCAGCACCCTGACAGGAATCCACTACTCTAATGACTGACCTTAAAGTATCCCTCCAAGACAAAACTCAGCCCATAGCCATTTGCCCTAGCTCTTACTTTCTTAATCACTCTGATCTCAGCCCTTAATACTAGCAATTAAAAAGGCCTCTTTAACACTAGAGAACTGCTTAAGAAACCTAAACAAAACCCTAAGTCTAAATGAATTTGAGGGGCCATGGATCTGATCAGCTTGTGGGCCACAAGGAGGAGAAGGGTGGGAATGCTCTGATGAGCTCAGCTCTGCCTCAGCATCTCCTGCCCCAGCAGGAGCAATGTGACTGTGGCAGTGACTGTGAGGTCACTTCTGTCTCTGCAGTGGATAGGGCAGCAGCAGGAACGTGTCACAGAAAGGGACTGGGAGGTCACTTCGGTCTGTAGGTGGCAGGTCAGTCTTGCCTTCTCCCTGGGAGCTGCACTTTTGGACTGACATCTGCCAATGGCCCTGCTAGGCCAGCAGAAGGCACCTGCTTGGCATGCTGACTGGGGGATCCCCTCTGCCTCCAGACCCAGGAGGACCCAGGCAGAAAGAAGGCCCCCAGATGGGTTGTCCTGTCCCTTCTGCTTGAGTCCACGTCTGGACAGCAGCAGGCACAAGGCTTGGGTGTGTGTAGCCAAGAAGCTGCAAGGCCAGCAGCAGGCCCCTGGCTTGGAAGATGCTGGTGAGGTATCTATGATCAGACCATAGCTCCGTTTTTCAAGGAACAGCTGGTGAGGGTTGATGAGACATTTGTGAAATGATGGAAATGACGGGATGAGAGCAAGGTGGTGAACAGAGATGGCTGTCTGCAAACTTCCAGGAAGTAGGAAAAAGTGTGGGAGAGCATTTGAAATCATGCAGAGAAAGCAGAGGGTGCTGACTAGAAAGGAAGGACCCAACAGCCCTGTCCCTTTGGCTAGAGCTTATGAGAAGATGACATACAGTCATTGCATTGCAGCCTCTTTTCTTCCTTGCAACCCTGTGCAGAGGCAGGGAGGTGTCATACCAGTGTTCTTCTCATGGCATGACACTGCCCATCGCATTCCTCAGACCCCCAAGAAAAGTCCTGAGCCAGACAGGGGAGTGCAGGGTCTCTCCTCACAGTGGCTGGGGTCAGGCCTTGGACCTTTTGCTTCACCAAAACCAACCAAGACTTTTCTCAACACAGTGCTTTGCCTGTCTGTAATCATGGCCTCCAATTATCTGCCCTAACATGTCCTTGGGGAAGCTTTGTTAGTAACAGCCCTCAGTGGGGCCCATTAATACTCCAAGTCACTTCAGCTTTTCCTTTTGCATTTGCTTTTTCACACAGTTGCATCATTCTCTGCTCAGTACCCAAGTTTCATTGACATAGCACCAAAATACTCCATGGAACTCATTAAAACACAGAAACTCCTAAGCAGCCATATCTCTCCCACCATTTTCTTCAAGTCTTCAAGACTTGTTCAGCTAATTGTAGAGCTTTCATGTTGTAGTTAAGGGGGAAGATTTCAAAGAGCATCTAATAAAAATCTTTCTTCATTTTAAAGGCTGAATTTTGTTGTGTTTCAGTTGAGAGCATCATTCTCCTATAGGTATTGGTCTAGGGTTTCTCCTTTGAAGCCCTGCATAGGTGGGAAGAACAGGGATTTTCCTATTTCAAAACAAACAACAGGAAATCATGCTGCAATTTAAAAAAAAAAAAAAACAAAAAAAAAAAAACAGAGTTCAAGTTCCTTATTTTATTGCCTCCAGTGATGTTTACCTTCTCAAAAGGATGACTGTACATGATGTATTTTACAGTGATTTAATTAATCGTGTTAATATTAATCCATATCATACTAATTCAGTGATAAATGATGAGGGTCTTACTAAGGAAACCATTACAAAGGCTGCTGAGAGATGGGAGACCTTGAACTCAATGAAACTCAAAGCAGCAACTGGGTCACTGAGAGTGGTCTGAATGATTAAACAGTAAGAGGAGGGCAAACCAGGAGAATGATGGGAAGTGCATAGGTCCAGACAGGCAGCTGGAAAGGGGACATTCAGCAGGGTCTATGTAATCAAGATGAGTTTTGTGCCTGGAAGATGAGGGAGGGAGCACACCACGATAGAAAAGCGATGACAATACAACTACAGGTGAACACCAGTATTTCTTCTCCTGTGATGAATATGCAAAAAAAAAATATGAAAAATCACATTTCTTCGTGATAGAAGTTACACTTCACATGAGACATTTTACAGAAAGGATTGAGTCTTTTGAGCTGATGAGTTGTTGCTTTATTATTCAAGTACTGAAAAAAATACTGGGTATTCCGACAGAGCTTTGCTGCCTGACCATAAGCAACCTGGGAAAACCTCCAGTGGCCCCGTTGTGTTTGAGGCACTTCCCCGGACCAGCAGATGTCAGAAAAGACCTGCAGGAGGCCAGAGCCCTTTGGGAAAATCAGGTGGAGCCAGGTGGAGTTCCCAGGGCACCTCCACTGCCAGCAGCGGTCTTTGTCCCTATAACTGCAGCCCAGTCCAGCACAGGAACACCCCTTCAAAGGCAAACCTCTTCTTCAGTGGGTTCCTTGGATTGACCTAGATTTGAAATGGGCACTGGAAACCTGAGATACTCTCCCTTACTTAAACTAGACACTTGAACATCTGTTGATGACCTTCCTGGGTCATCTTTAGCAAACTCAGGCTGATGAACTCAAGTATAGCATGCTTCAAATGGCTGAGGCAGAACCCATCAGCTTGCCCCACTTTGCAAATGGCCCCCGTCCAAATAACATTTTAAAAGCAACAAATACAGAATGACCCATGAGGTCAATGTGCAGAGTAAGGGAAAGTCACACATACTGTGCTGGAGTAGCAGAAGGCAAAAAGCATTGCATTGTGCCTCAGAATAATCAAGGAGACCTATTCCAGTTCATCCATGAGGAAAAGCAGAGAGAGCAGGACGTTGAGCTTGGCCTAACATGAAGAAGGATGTGCATCACTGGTGAAGGAACCGTCATTTGTGCCATCACCAATGTAAATTACACAAGCACCACCGCACCTAATGGTAACCTGTCCGCCCCTGTTTAGTATTCCCACAGGGCAGTGGAAAGGGAGCCGGCAGCCAAGGGACACATTTGCGTGTGGAAGGTGGGGCCCAGCAGAAACAAGGAGTCAAGGCAGTGGGGTGGGGGAGGCCAGCAGAAGCAGCCCAAGGGGTGGTGCTGCTTGTGAGGACACACTTGGGCCACCAGCCTGAGTGGGCAGCAGCTGTGCGCAGGCGAGGGGAGGCCAGGAAGCGCATGCTGCGAGCGCTCCTGCCAGCAGAGACAAGGCCGAGGCCGAGCCCAAGGGCAGAGGCAGGCCCAGGCCGGGGGGCTGCAAGGGCCATGCTGAACTCCCTGCTCCTGCAACAGCCACCCTGGCCCTCAGCAGACGTGCTGGCAGGCTGTGGGGAGGGGATGAATGCCCTGAGCTCCCTTTCTGCTCTGCCCAGGCCCGCAAGGGCCCAGAGCGGCCTCCTCTCCCCTGCCCCTGCAGCTCTGGGCTCCCTTTGCACAGCCCTAGCTCTGCAGCACCAAGCCCTGCTGAGAGGCCTCCCCTGAATGCTGCCCCCACTCCCAGAAAATGCTGGAATTTCTAATTATATCTATATTATTATAGTTTAATATGCTGAAGATGTGTGTATTCAAGCAGAGTCCTCACTGAATCCCTTAATTCCTTGTTCCTCATGCTGTAGATGAGAGGGTTCACTGCTGAAGGCACCACTGAGTACAGAAATGACACCACCACGTCCAGGGATGGGAAAGAGATGTAGGGGGGCTTGAGGTAGGCAAAAATGCCAGTGCTGACCATCAGGGAGACAACAGCCAGGTGAGGGAGGCACGTGGAAAAGGCTTTGTGTCGGCTCTGAGAAGAGTGCATCCTCAGCACTGCCCTGAGGATCTGAATATAAGAAATAACAATGAAAATAGAACAACCAAATAATACAGAAATACTTATTACAAGTGCACCAAATTCCCTTTGATAGGCACCTGAGCAGGAGAGCTTGAGGATCTGGGGGATCTCACAGAAGAACTGGTCCACAACATTGCCTTGGCAGAGGGGCAGGGAAAATATACTGGTCGTATGCAGGACAGCATTGAGAAAGCCACTGCCCCAGGCAGCTGCTGCCATCTGGGCACAAGCTCTGCTGCCCAGGAGGCTCCCGTAGTGCAGGGGCTTGCAGATGGCAACGTAGCGGTCATAGGCCATGACAGTTAGAAGGCAATACTCAGCTACAACAAAGAAGAGTGAAAAGAGGATTTGTGCAATACATCCTTGATAGGAGATGGCCCTGGTGTCCCAGAGGGCATTGGCCATGGCTTTGGGCAGAGTGGTGGAGATGCAGCCCATGTCGAGGAGGGCGAGGTTGAGCAGGAAGAAGTACATGGGGGTGTGGAGGCGGTGGTGGCAGGCTACGGCGCTGAGGATGAGGCCGTTGCCCAGGAGGGCAGCCAGGTAGATGCCCAGGAAGAGCGCGAAGTGCAGGAGCTGCAGCTCACGTGTTTCTGCGAATGGCAGCAGGAGGAAGTCAGTGATGGTGCTTCTGTTGGACATTTGTGTTTTTGAGATGTGGTTCTGCATATAGAAGAGAAAGAACAGTAGTAATGTACTACAGACTTATCAGAGAAAAACTCATCCCATTTCTCATCTAAAATCGCCAGAAAATTGCCTTCTTCCAGGAAGACATTTGGCAGGTGCCTTTCATTAGTTCTTCCTGATGCTGCCTAAGGGAAGGGTATCCCTGGGAGCAGGTGACTCCTCCTCCATGGGCAAAGGAAGAGTCAGTTTTGCCCAATAGCCAGGGGAAAGGCAGAACATGGCTATTCTCAGACTCACTTCACTGATGATATCAAAGAATCTTGTCCCTTTGTTGCTCCCGGGTTACCCAACTTCAGTGCAGATATATATATATGGATTTCTTTAATTTCTATTTTATAGGGTCAGATTTTTTGTTGTTGCTAACCTACCACACCTGTTGAGATTTTCTAAAACAGAAATCCTGAGCATTTCTCCTGCACTTGATGGCAAACTATGTGCATCCTCAGAGCAAAATGGGCAGTCCCTACAGTGCAGAGGGTCCTTTAGTGAGGACAGAAAATCCGTCTATCAGTGCTGGTACAGCTGCCCTGTGAGAGCTTCAGGAAAGTTCTACTCATAGGTTGACCTGAGAAGAACCTGAACACTGCTGAGAGCAGAGACATCCAGGTACAAAGTGCCCATCTCCACACCCCTCACTCTGTCCCTGTACTCCCCTTCCCCCAAGCACACCAAGGGCTCTCTCTATGGGCATGTGAAACCCGCAACCCCAACCAGCCTGGGAACAAGACCAGCAGCAGCACGGCCAGCTGGAGAAGCCAGGAGGAATGCCAGCGTGCTGCTGCCAGGGGAGGCAAGGCCAGGAAGGGACAGACAGACACTCAGCAGACCCTCCTGTGCTGCAGCTCTGCCTGCAGACGAGGCAGCTCCTCCTCATTGCAAATGATCTGTGCCCACTTCAAGACGGCAGAGACCTCCCAAAGACAGGGATGTCTCTCAGCACTGGACATTGGGGGCTTTGCAGCTCTTAAAGATCAGCTTGGATAAAACCTGAGAGGACCACAAGCATGATGTTGGTGCAGTTTCTGGGCTGAGGTGTGTGAAGGAACTTTATAAACTTCATTGCTGACAAACTGATCTCTCACTGCAGTTGTCTTGGAGTCTCAGTCTCCAGTACAAACCTGACCACCTATTACCATGAAACCAGCCTCCCCTCCACTGCAGGAATCTGCAAGCACAGGCTACAGAAAATATCTTGCCTTTCAGGTAGCCCCTGCCTTGTTCTTCCTTTTGAAAAATCCAATCATACATGCCATTCTCTGAAGTGTTTTCTACTCATTTCTGGAGAAAAAGAGACCCACCCTCACAGATGCTATCAGCCATCGGATGTGCCAGCTGTAGAAGACCCCTCTGGCAACCCCACCTGCACTGCCCTGCTGCCAGAGCCTCACGGTGCCAAGAGCCTGCAGATGTGTCCTGCCACACGCTGCCCTCTGTTGTTGCGCTCCTCAGTGCCTCCAAGCCCTCTCTCCTTCTCTCCTTTCTGTGTGCCAGCTGTGGTCAGAGCCCCCAGCCCTGCTGCGCTGTGCAGAGGAGCTGCTCCTGGGCACAGCTGGCTCTCTGCAGTGCTTACCAGGAGCTCCCCTTGGACCCAGGAGCCCGGCCCAGCTCAGCAGCACAGCACCCGACCATGGCATCGCTTGCTCTGTGCCCTTGGTTTCCCTTGAGGTGTCCCTAAGGCCTCAGGGCTGACAGCTCCCCAAGGCAGCAGGCTCTCTGCTGGGGTGTGGTGTTCAAAGCAGACTGAAGGCATCACCGACTGCTTCTCTCTGTAGATGTCAGAGACTGATTGTTTAAAGTGTGATTTGTGCTGTTGGACTGTGGTTGTCAAATATGAGTACAAATGTTTCCCTCCCTTAACCCCTATTCTGTTCCCACTGCATGGCAGGACACCTCAGCCACGACTGCCAGGGATCGTTTCACCCCTCTGAATGTGTCCTAACAAGAGAGGGGGAACTGAATGCTCTAAAAAGTTTTCCAAGAAGGGAATTGGACACTAAGACAGCATTTGTTGAGTTTTCCCAGTAATCCACTTGGAAGATCCTCTACCCATACACAAATCTCTTCTTCCTCTCTCACGTGACCAGCACGGTGACTGGGATGTGGAACACCCTCAACACTATGCTGGTGCCTGCCACCAAACACCTGCAGATGCCGTGCTTCCTGCTGGGGACCATGCCCTACGGTCAACCCTGGGCTGTATGCCATCCCTGTTCTCTGCAAGGCTCGGGAAGTGGAAGGCCTGACTCCAGAAGACCTCAGGTCCAGAAGACCTGAACCAGGGGAATTTCTCTCATGTACAAGAATTCTTTCTCCTCCTCCCAGCTACTGTTCTGTGGCCCCAGTGTCACAGAAACCTCTTGTACGGTTTTGCCCCATTGCTGGAGCTGTCCTGCAGTGCCACAGTGATACTCATGGTCTTTGATTTCATAATCTACATTTTGGATCCAGTCTTCCTCTTCCCTCTCATGCAGTTTTCATGTGCATGTGTCCTGTGTTGGCAGACTCAAAGCCTTATCCACCTGCTCTCCTGTCCTCACAAGTGTCACTGTCTTCTATGACACCATCATCTCTCCCATGTGAAGCGCAGAACAACGCATAACATAAGCTACTAATACAATCGCCAATTGAAAAAAAAAAAAAAGAAAAAAAAAAAAAAAGAAATCAGTATCTTATGCCCTTCAAACATTTGGTACAACAATTTGTTTACAGCAATCATAACATTAGTCTTTGCACACAGGTACAGGACATACTCATAGGCATGAAAAAATGTTTCTCTAGTAGAGAGAAGAACTTTTGGTCTTCCTCCTCAGAGATTTTAACCAAGCCCTTTCCCAAACCATCATCATCCTCCCAGTCAGTCCTCAGGTTGCTTAGAGGTGGTGTGGGAAGGGTGAGACAGGTTCTAGTGGATCTGCAGATGTCATCATAAGACCTCTCTCAAGACCTTGGAAAGGCCAGATAAAGGAGAGACGTTGCTCGGGATTTTGAAAAGGCAGAGGTAAAAGGCATCTTCTACAAGAAAGGTAAACAGAAGGATGATTAAGACTAACTAAGTATTAAAATGCTATTATTGAATCTACACCTCAGATCAAATCTAAATTAAAAACCTCAAAATTTATACTTATCCCAGATCTTGAGCAGACACCTTGAGCAGAATACCAATCCCTCCCTTGATACAGTTGCCATTCCCTTAACGCTGGAGGGTGAATTCTAATTCCTAAACATTAACCTGATCATCTGACCCCCAAAGCCCTCCACCACAAACACAGCACATCTCATCTTCAAACCCACTCCTATCCCTTTCTTCAGCTTCTTGTCCCATAGGGGCAGGGCAGGGACTTTGAGGTCCTGCAGCAGTCCCATGGCGTTGGAAGAGTCATGTGAGGTGACAGGTATGTGATCAGATCAGAGGCCACAAGGAGGAGCTGCCTGGGAATGCTGGGATGAGGTCAGGTGTGCCTCAGGATGTGCTGGGCCTGCAGGAGGCACATGGCTGGGAAGGAGGCTGGGAGGTCACTTCTGTCTCTGGAGCTGACAGACCTCCAGGAGGAATGTGGCACAGACAGGGACCATAAAGGGCAGAAGCATGCACAAGGCATTGAAAATGATGGTGAGGCACCTTCTGTTCTGGTCGGATGAGAGACCAAAGGAAGGCTGATGGGATGGGAGTCATGCTTGAGGTATAGTTTGTGAGACCATAGAATCAGAGAATGGCTCCTGTTGGAAGGGACCTTAAAGGTCATCTAGTTCCAAGCCCCTGGCCATGGACATGGATGCCCCCCATGAGTTCGGGTTGCCCAGAGACTCATCTAACCTGCTCTTGATCAGCTCCAGGGATGGGGCATCCACAGCTTCTCTGGGCAACCTGTTCCAGTGCCTCACCTCCTTCTGAGTGAAGAATTTCCTCCTAACTTCTAATCTAAATCTCCCCTCATTTAGCTTAAAACCATTCCCCTTTGCCTTCTCATTATCTGACTGAGCAAAGAGTCACTCTCCATCTTTTTTATAAGCCCCCTTTAAGTACTGAAAGGCTGCAATGAGGTCACCCTGGAACCTTTTCTTCTCCAGGCTGAACAGCTGCAGCTCTCTCAGCCTTTTTTCATAGGAGACATGCTCCAGCCCCTTGATCATCTTCGTGGCCATCCTCTGGACTTGTTCTAACAGACCCACAACCTTCTTATGCTGGGGGCCCGAGTCCTGGATGCAGGACTCCAAGTGGGGCCTCACAAAGGCAGAGAACAAAGAGTAGAAGTAGAAGTTACCTCCCTCCACCTGCTGGCCACTCCTCTGCTTATGGAGCCCAGGATGCAGTTGGCCTTCTGGGCTACAAGCGCAGAATGTACTGTCTCACTGTCTCACTGTTGATCTCACTGTCTGTCATAGATAAAGATACTAAACAGCACCAGTCCCAGGACAGCCCCCTGAGGTACAACACTTGTCACCAGCCTCCACTTGGACATAGAGCCATTGACCACCACGCTCTGGGTGTGACCTTCAAGCCAACTCCTTTATCCACAGAATGGTGCTCCCATCAAATGCGTATCTCTCTAATTTGGAGACCAGGATGTCATGTGGGACCATGGCAATGGTCTTACAGAAGTCCAAGTAGATGACATAGGTCGGTCTTCCCTTGTTGTCTGATGTGGTCATTCCATTGTAGAAAGCCACCAGATTGGCCAGGCACCATTTACCCTTTGGTGAAGCCATTCTCATTTTCTCGAATCACCTCTTTGTCTTGCATGTGCCTTGACTCTGATTCCAGGAGGATCTTTTCCATGATCTTTTGAGGCACAGAGGTGAGGCTCAGCATTCAGTGGTTTCCTGGGTCCTCTTTTCTACCCTTTTTTAAAAATGGGAATGATGTTTTCCTTTTTCCAGTCACCAGGGACTTCATCCAACTGCCAGGACTCTTCAAATATGATGGAGAGAGGCTTGACAAGTACATCAGCCTGTTCCCTCAGGACCCTGGAATGCAAGTCATCATGCCCCATAGACTTGTACTTGTTGAGTTCCATCAGGTGGTCTCAAACCTGCTCTTCACTTAGAGTGGGTGGGACTTTGCACCCTCAGCCTCCATCTATGGCTTCAGGGAAATGAAAAACTTGTGAAGCCTGACTGGCAGAGAAGACTGAGGCAAAGATGTTGTTGAATCCCTCAGCCTTCTCCATGCCTGTCATTACCAGTTCACCTTTCTCATCCATCAGAGGTGGTACACTCTCCCTGGCCTTTCTTTTCTGAGCCATGTATCTCTAGAATCTCTTCCTGTTATCCCTTGCATCCCTTGCCAAGCTCAGTTCCATCCGTGCCTTGGCTTTCCTTATCCCATCCCTGCACATCCAAAACTGAAACATGTGAGAGGGCCTGGGAAAAGGAGCCCTGGATCCACAGAAGCCATTTGGGAAACAAAACTTGTAGGTAGGAAGCACAGTTTTGTGGAGGTGCAGAGCTGATGGGCACATTGTGCAGGATTTTCCTAAAGACCCATGTGTCCTTTTCCCTCCTGACTACAATGCTACTTCCTTCCCAGTAATGGAGGAGCCAACAGAGGTGAAAAAGATACTCTGTGATCATGAATGTCATCAGAAAGCTGACACCAGTAAGACATGGGGAGGTTAGGAGAAGCCTGGACAAGAGAGATGTGAGAATTTGGGGTGAGAAAAGGAGCATGGCCAACAGAAATTAATGATTTCATAGAGGTAAGAGGGTGCATGTAATGTTGATGCTGTAGTAACGCTGACTTAAAAGAATCATGTATGGCCCTTACCTTATTTAGACAGTAATTTAAATCCCAAAACCTAAATGCTACTGCAACACTCTGACGGGAATCCCTTACTCTAATGCTTGAATTCAAAGGATCCCTTCAAGCAAAACTCGGCCCATAGCCCCTTTCCCTTGCCTTTATTCTCTTACTCACCAAAACGCCTTCCCTAGACACTAGGATTAAAATGCTCTACTGATCCTTAGATTTCTTGGCAGACCTCAATAAAACCATAAACCACAGAGCTTGCCCATACCCTAACCACAGAAGAACACCAAACATTCCCAATAAACCTCTGTTTACTCTCTAACCCAGAAAAGTGAGCCCTAGTCCGTAAGAGACTAGGGAGAGTTGCACTCTGCCTCAGGATCTCCTGCCCCAGCAGCAGGAATGTGACTGTGGCAGGGACTGTGAGGTCACTTCTGTCTCTTCACTTGATAGGCCAGCAGCAGGAATGTGTCACAGAAAGGGACTGTGAGGTCACTTGTGTCTGGAGGTGGCAGGTCAGCCTTGCCTTCTCCCTGGGAGCTGCACTTTTGGGCTGACATCTGGCAGTGGCCCTGCTAGGCCAGCAGAAGGCACCTGCTTGGCATGCTGACTGGGGGATCCCCTCTGCCTCCAGAGCCAGGAGGACCCAGACAGAAAGAAGGCCCCCAGATGGGTTGTCCTGTCCCTTCTGCTTGAGTCCATGACTGGGCAGCAGCAGGCACAAGGCTTGTCTTTTTCTCTGGGTAAGCCCTGATATCTTGTGTACCTTGGTTACAGTCCTGTTGTCTCTGCAGTGACATCCCTGTGGCTGCAGGCAGCAGCAGGCACTGCGCAGCCCTGGGTCACAGCTTCCTCCCTGGTAGCACTGCAGTTACAAATGGGATTTTATTTGGGACTTCCTGGTGTGAAGGACATAGACTTGAAGTGCAAGGACAGTCCGTGAGGGACCAAGGGCTTGACCAAGAGCTTTATGGCAGCACCTGACAATAACTGGTCTTGGACTCATCTGCATGGCACTGCCCCCCTGCAGTGGGGCTCATGGCCACTGCCAGCCTGGAGAGGAATCTGGAGCTGCCAGGAGATGTCAGGGGATCTGCAGGGAGAACATGCAACGCTGAGTTGGTAGGGATTAGAACCTCATAAAATTAATGGCCATCCAAAGAAGAGTTTGGTAAAGAAAAAGGGGAATCTGAGGAATCCATGGGGTAAGGACAGCTCTGCCATGGCAGGAGTGGTGGTGATGTGCCAGCAGACAAAGGCCCCTAAGAGTGTAGAGTAATTGAGGATAACCTTCTTGAGGCCTAATGGACCAGGTCTGTGCAACACTCGCCTGCCCTTTGTGCCCTCAGAGACACCCCATGGCCCTGCCCAGCACTGCCCTGTGCTGCTGAGCCATCAGCACACATGGAATGGGGCTCAGCAGCAGAGGTCCCCATGGACGTAGGTCTGCTGCCCACCCTGAGCAACATGCACATGGGGAAGACCCGCGGGTATCCCAGAGCACCACAGCCCCTGGCTCTCACAGCAGCACCGCCAGCTTGGGGCCCTGCAGGGAGCACAGGGAGGGAAGCAGCAATGGCCAGCCAGGCCAGCACAGACACATTGCCCTGGGCAAGGCTCTCTGGGAGCAGGGATGGCCCTGGGGAAGAGCAGGGCAGCATTGCTGGGCCTGCACTGATGGGGAAAGAGGAAAGGGAAAGCTCTTTGTGCAGGCCCCTGCTCGGGGCTGGCTGCTCTGTGGCTGGGCCAGGCCTCTTGTGCTGGCCGGGGGAGCGGGGCTGGCCCTGCGGGGCACAGGCACTGTGTGCTGGGGATCTCCCAGGCAAGAGAGCAGGGTTCCTGCAGCTTCACGGACCTCCTCTTTATAAGTACATTAAAGGAGGCTGTAGTGAGGTGCGGGTTGGTCTATTCTCCCATCTGCCTGGTGACAGGACGAGGGGGAATGGGCTAAAGTTGCACCAGGGGTGTTTTAGGTTAGCTATTAGGAAAAACTTCTTTACCGAAAGGGTTGTGAGGCATTGGAATGGGCTGCCCAGGGAAGTGGTGGAGTCACCATCCCTGGAAGTCTTTAAAAGACGTTTAGATGTAGAGCTTAGGGAAATGGTCTAGTGGAGGACTTGTTAGTGTTAGGTCAGAGGTTGGACTTGATGATCCTGAGGTCTCTTCCAACCTAGACAATTCTGTGATTCTGTGGGAAAAAGAGCTTGGCCAGCAGAAACTTATGCTTTCATAGAAGTAAGACGGTTTATGTAATGTAGATGCTGCAGTAACACTGACTTAAAACAGTCACCTATGCCCCTTTCCTTACTTGAAAAAGTCATTTTAATCTCTAAACCTAAATGCTACTACAGTACTCTGAGAGGAATCCTTTTATCTTTTTTTTTTTTTTTTCTCTTGCTAACCTAATGCCTTCCCTTAACACTAACATGAAAATGCTCTATTTAACCCTAGACTCCTTGGTAGACCTAAAAAACCCTAAACCATAGAGCTTGTCTATGCCTTAACCACAGACCTGACACCACAAGCAGAACAACACACATTCCCAGTAAAACTTTGCATAATCTCTAACAAAGAAATAGAAAAACAGGTACCTAGGGGGTGCGAGAGAGGTCAGCTCTGCCTCAGGATCTCCTGCCCCAGCAGGAGGAATGTGACTGTGGCAGGGACTGTGAGGTCACTTCTGTCTCTGCACTTTATACGGCAGCAGCAGGAACGTGTCACAGAAAGGGACTGGGAGGTCACTTGTGCCTGAAGCAGCTGACAGGTCACCCTTGACATAGACCTGGGATCTGCACTTTTGGGCTGATATCTGCCAGTGACCCTGCTAGGCCAGCAGAAGGCACCTGCTTGGCATGCTGACTGTGGCATTCCCTCTGCCTCCATAGCCAGGAGGACCCAGACTGCAATGTAGAGGACACTCAGCAAGCACACAGCAGGGCTCCAGACAGGGAGATAGACAAAGGTCCTCTTGAAACAGGGAATTTAAGGCTTTCACTGGGAATTAACTGAATTTTGCTAAGAGACATTACTCGTGACACTCCCTTATTTATATTTTTTTCTCATTTGGCAGTGTCCATGTCCAAATCAGCAAATGCCGAACATCAGCTCTGTGAGCGAGTTCTTCCTGCTGGCATTCTCAAACAAGCGTGAGCTGCAGCTCCTGCACTTCGAGCTCTTCCTGGGCATCTACCTGGCTGCCCTCCTGGGCAACGGCTTCATCCTCAGCGCCGTAGCCTGCCACCACCGCCTCCACACCCCCATGTACTTCTTCCTCCTCAACCTCGCCCTCCTCGACCTGGGCTGCATCTCCACCACTCTGCCCAAAGCCATGGCCAATGCCCTCTGGGACACCAGGACCATCTCCTATCAAGGATGTGCTGCACAGGTCTTCTTTTTTGTCTTCTTCTTTGGAGCAGAGCTTTCCCTCCTCACCGTCATGGCCTATGACCGCCATGTGGCCATCTGCAAGCCCCTGCACTACGGGAGCCTCCTGGGCAGCAGAGCTTGTGCCCAGATGGCAGCAGCTGCCTGGGGCAGTGGCTTTCTCAATGCTGTCCTGCAAACGGCCAACACATTTTCCCTTCCCCTCTGCCAAGGCAATGCTGTGGACCAGTTCTTCTGTGAAATCCCCCAAATCCTCAAACTCTCCTGCTCATATGCCTACCTGAGGGAAGTTGGGGCACTTGAGTTTAGTGTTTCTTTACTCTTTGGTTGTTTTGTTTTTATTGTGGTGTCCTATGTGCAGATCTTCAGGGCAGTGCTGAGGGTGTCCTCTGAGCAGGGGCGACACAAAGCCTTTTCCACGTCCCTCCCTCATCTGGCCGTGGTCTCGCTTTTTCTCAGCACTGGCATGTTTGCCTACCTGAAGCCCCCCTCCATCTCCTCTCCATCCTTGGACATGGTGATGGCAGTTCTGTACTCGGTGCTGCCTCCAGCACTGAACCCTCTCATCTACAGCATGAGGAACCAGGAGCTGAAAGCCTGTCGTGGTTTAACCCGGCCGGCAGCTAAACACCACGCAGCCGTTCGCTCACCCTCCCCCCTCCCTCTCTGGGACGGGGGACAGAAATGGAAAGTGAAGCCCGTGAGTTGAGATAAAGACAGTTTAATAAGACAGGAAAATAATAATAACAAAATAATAATAAAATAATAACAATAATAATACAACGGTGATAATAGGAAAGTAATAATAGTATGTACAAACAAGTGATGCACAATGCAATTGCTCACCACCCGCTGACCGATGCCCAGCCTAACCCCGAGCAGTCCGGCCCCCTCCCCCTGGCTAGCCACCCCTATTTATTGTTTAGCATGACATCAGATGGTATGGAATACCCCTTTGGCTAGTTTGGGTCACCTGTCCTGGCTCTGTCCCCTCCCAGCTCTTACTGCCCTGGCTCTGTCCCCTCCCAGCTCTTACTGCACACCCAGCCTGCCCGTTGGCAGGACAGAGCAAAAGGCTGAGATTTCCTTGGCTTGGTATAAGCACTGCTCTGCAACAATTAAAACATCGGGGTGTTATCAGCACTCTTCTCATCCTAAGCCAAAACACAGCATTCCACCAGCTACTAGGAAGAAAATTAATTCTGTTCTAACTGAAACCAGGACATCTATCCACCCCTTATTCCATACCATTTATGTCATGCTCAGGTTACACTCTTTTCCATACATTCTAATTAGTCACCTATAGTAGTTATGGTAGTGATAACATACAGTATTATATAGTAATTAACATGGTACAATTCAGTTCATGGGCTATTCTCACCCAGTATTAAATCCCCTTGAGGTACACACCGGACCTCTCTGTTCTTTTGCATCACCCACCAAGTGTATCCAGGTCCCTGAGCAAAAGCAATTCCACGAATGGGTTTGCCTTTTCCTGAGGCAGGAGTAGCCCAGACTGTTTTACCCAGCATATTTCTTACATGCACTACAGGAATTTTATCCCCATCTACAGTACGTAACAGGTTGGATTGGGCAGGTCCAGCTCGGTTGGCAGATCCCCTAGTATTGACTAACCAGGTGGCCTTTGCCAAATGCGTATCCCAATTTTTGAATGTCCCAGCACCCATTGCTTTCAATGTAGTCTTTAACAGTCCATTGTATCTTTCAACTTTCCCGGAGGCTGGTGCATGATAGGGGATGTGATACACCCACTCAATACCATGCTCTTTGGCCCAAGTGTCTATAAGGTTGTTTCGGAAATGAGTTCCATTGTCTGATTCTATTCTTTCTGGGGTGCCATGTCACCATAGGACTTGCTTTTCAAGGCCCAGGATAGTGTTCCGGGCGGTGGCATGAGGCACAGGATATGTTTCCAGCCATCCGGTGGTTGCTTCCACCATTGTAAGTACGTGGCGCTTGCCATTGCGAGTTTGAGGGAGTGTGATGTAATCAATCTGCCAGGCCTCTCCATATTTATATTTCAGCCATCGTCCTCCATACCAAAGAGGCTTTGACCGTTTGGCTTGCTTGATTGCAGCACATGTTTCACAGTCATGAATAACCTGTGCTAGAGCGTCCATGGTTAGGTCCACCCCTCGATCACGAGCCCATCTGTATGTTGCATCTCTACCTTGATGGCCTGAGGTGTCATGGGCCCATCGGGCTATAAATAATTCACCTTTATGCTGCCAATCCAGGTCCAACTGAGTTACTTCAATCTTAGCAGCCTGATCCACCTGCTGGTTGTTCTGATGTTCTTCAGTAGCCCGATTCTTGGGCACATGAGCATCTACGTGGCGTACTTTCACAGCCAGGTTCTCTACCCGAGCAGCAATATCTTGCCACAATGCAGCAGCCCAGATGGGTTTGCCCCTGTGCTGCCAGTTCTTTGCTTCCATTGCTGTAACCGTCCCCACAGGGCATTTGCTACCATCCATGAATTGGTGTAGAGATAGAGAACTGGCCGTTTTTCTCGTTCAGCAATGTCTAAAGCCAGCTGAATGGCCTTCACTTCTGCAAACTGACTCGATTCACCTTCTCCCTCAGCAGCTTCTGCAACTCGTCGCGTAGGACTCCATACAGCAGCCTTACATCTCCGATGGTTCCTCACAATACGACAGGACCCATCAGTGAACAGGGCATATTTCTTTTCATTCTCTGGCAACTGGTTGTACAGTGGGGCTTCTTCAGCACGACCCACCTCCTCCTCTGATGATATCCCAAAGTATTTGCCTTCTGGCCAGTCCATGATCACTTCCAATATTCCTGGGCGACTGGGGTTTCCTATTCGAGCCCGCTGAGTAATCAGTGCAACCCACTTGCTCCATGTAGCATCAGTTGCATGATGCGTAGAGGGGACCCTTCCCTTGAACATCCAGCCTAGTACCGGCAATCGGGGTGCTAGGAGGAGCTGCGCTTCAGTACCGACCACCTCCGAAGCAGATTGAACTCCTTCATATGCTGCCAATATCTCCTTTTCAGTTGGAGTATAGCGGGCCTCAGATCCTCTGTATCCCCGACTCCAAAACCCCAGGGGCCGACCTCGAGTTTCCCCAGGTTCTTTCTGCCAGAGGCTCCAGGTGGGGCCATTCTCCCCGGCTGCAGTGTAGAGCACATTCTTTACATCTGGTCCTGTTCGAACTGGCCCAAGGGCTACTGCATGGACTATTTCCTGCTTGATTTGTTCAAAGGCTTGTCGTTGTTCAGGGCCCCATTCAAACTCATTCTTCTTACGGGTTACTTGGTAGAGCGGGTTTACAATCAGACTGTAATTTGGGATGTGCATTCTCCAAAACCCCACAACACCTAGGAAAGTCTGTGTTTCTTTTTTGTTAGTTGGTGGAGACATAGCTGTTATTTTGTTGATCACATCCATTGGGATTTGACGACGTCCATCTTGCCATTTTATTCCTAAAAACTGGATCTCTCGTGCAGGTCCTTTGACTTTATTCTGTTTTATGGCAAAACCGGCTTTCAGAAGGCTTTGGACTATTTTCTTCCCTTTCTCGAAAACTTCCTCTGCTGTGTCACCCCACACAATAATGTCATCGATGTACTGCAGGTGTTCAGGAGCTTCCCCCTGCTCTAGCGCAGACTGGATCAGCCCATGGCAAATGGTAGGGCTGTGTTTCCACCCCTGGGGCAGCCTATTCCAAGTATATTGGACTCCCCTCCAAGTGAAGGCAAATTGTGGCCTGCACTCTGCTGCTAGAGGGATGGAGAAAAATGCATTAGCGATATCAATTGTGGCGTACCACTTGGCTGCCCTCGATTCAAGTTCATACTGAAGTTCCAGCATGTCTGGCACTGCAGCACTCAGTGGTGGCGTGACTTCGTTCAGGCCACGATAGTCCACTGTTAGTCTCCACTCGCCATTAGACTTTCGCACTGGCCATATGGGGCTATTGAAAGGTGAATGGGTCTTGCTGATCACTCCTTGGCTCTCCAATTGACGAATTAGCTTATGGATGGGAATCAGGGAGTCTCGGTTAGTGCAATATTGCCGCCGGTGCACAGTTGTGGTAGCGATTGGCACTTGCTGTTCTTCAACCCTCAGCAACCCCACAACAGAGGGGTCCTCTGAGAGACCAGGCAAGGTAGATAATTGTTTAATGCCCTCTGTCTCTAAGGCAGCTATACCAAAAGCCCACCGGAACCCTTTTGGGTCCTTGCAATATCCTCTTCTAAGGTAGTCTATGCCAAGGATACATGGAGCATCCGGGCCAGTCACAATGCGGTGCTTTTCCCACTCATTCCCAGTCAGACTCACTTCAGCCTCCAATACAGTCAACTGCTGAGATCCTCCTGTCACTCCACAAATATAGATGGGCTCTGGTCCTTTATATCTCGATGGCATTATAGTACATAGTGCACCAGTATCTACTAAAGCCTTATACTTCTGTGCGTGTGATGTGCCAGGCCATCGAATCCACACAGTCCAATAAACTCGATTGTCCCTTTCCTCCCCCTGGCTGGAGGCAGGGCCCCCCTAATCCTGGTCAGAATCTTCTTCGTTTCTGTGTTTGAAGGACTGTCTGCTGGAAGTTGGAGCAGCAAACTTTTCGGAGAATCCCTTTTTCCTGATTGTTTTCTTTTGCAACTCACGTACCCGTGCCTCTAGGGTCGCGGTAGATTTTCCATCCCATTTTCTCATGTCCTCTCCATGGTCTCGTAAGTAAAACCACAGGGTGGCACGGGGTGAGTACCCACCATATCATCTTCCTTGTGTGGGTGAACGCCTACCCCTGACAGCTGAGACACTGCTTTGTACAGGTGCGGAGGAGAATAATCTCTCTTCAAGTTGGTGAACCTTTTCAGAAAGTTTCTCCCAGGTATTCTCTTTTGGTCGGTGGACACTGGTTAGTTCAGGTGGGGAGGACAATAGATTCTCTTCAAGTTGGTGAACCTTTTCAGAAAGTTTCTCCACAGCTGAGACGCAGGCCTGTAAGGAAGAGGAGAGACTTTCTTCGTACTGCCGGAGTTGTTTAGCCACTTCATCCACTGTGGGTTCCTCATCCTCTTTCCAGGCCATTATTGCCAATG